TGTTCCCACGGCTCCGACGCCTGGCATCACACACAGCTCAGCTCTGCTTCCTGCACTGACCGTGACGTGGGAGGAAGCAGACAGGTCTTCACTCTGTTAGGGCCGTTGCTGACGCATCGACGTAGGAATGATTTCTTTTACAGCCGGGCCCATGTGGGTTTATTTCTGTGGTTTCATTTGATATCACTATCTCAAGATGAACTACAGGATGCGTGATGTTCAAACAGCTGACTGCTCCCTAAGTAAGAGGTGAGGGCCTGAGTAAGGGGTTCTTGGAAAACATGGTTATGTTTGGTATTGCCGGAGTTAGGGGAAATATCCATGTCTGTCTATTCCTTTGTATGTGAATGGTGTATTGATCAAAACTCACAGATGCAGAATGATCTGATAGTTACTCGTTTTTGTGTGAATTTGTGGGATTTTTTAATGTATTTTTATTGATTAAAGAGAGGAAGGGAGAGGAAAAGGGATAGAAACATCAATAATGAGAGAGAGTTACTGATCAGCCGCCTCCCGCACGCCCCCTGCTGTTATCAAGCCTGCAGCCCAGGCAGGTGCCCTGACTGGGAACCGAACTGTAACCTCCTGGTTCAAAAGTTGTTGCTCAACCCCTGAGCCCAGCCGGCCTGGCTGTGTTTGTGTTTAAATGTGGAGTAAGGTGCCTGCCTGGTGTGCCCTTTACACCTGGCAATGCAGATGGTTCTCAGCTCACCTGCCGTTGCCTGCAGAGCGCTTGTCAAGGACCAGACACTGGAAATAGAGAAGGCCAGTGTTTGCAGCTCCGACTCCGTCCCACAGGGAGGAGTTTGATTGTGAATGGCTCATAATACAAGCAGCGCCTCTCCCTCTCACCTGGGCATTCGACGTTAATGGCTTACCCACGAAACTGATCTGCAGGATTCAGACTCCACATCCGCAAATGCATTTTAACAAAACTTAGATTTACGACGCTTCTCCTTTCCCTTTTTCTTCCGTAGCTGTCGTAGGTGTTCAATTCCTCCTATCAAACTGGCCCAGTTACCTCTCACTCACGTGGAAGTCATTTTCTCTAGCTTATCACTCCTGAAACAAAGTGTTAGCTTTGATAAAATGTTCAACAACACGAAGAAATAGACCCATAGGCCCCGTGGTACGAAGAACTGATGCAGTAAGATTAACTTAAAAATTTGCAAGTGATAGCTTTTCTATACTGATTGATTGCAACAATCACAGCGTCACTGCAGCGAGCTGTCAGTGAGGCCGTGGACACACTGGGTGTGCGGCTCTCGGACAGTTAGCAGCGAGTGTGTGAGAATGCTTCACAGGAGCGCACCTGTGTTCTGTGTCCTCTGACCATTTGTATCATCTTGTCCAACGTGTCTTTGAAAACGTGCAACCCTACTGATACTTTCCAAATATTTTTATCAAAGGATCCACCCAGTTATGTAGCAAATAATGCCATGTAGTCATCTCTTTACTAAAGTTCTATGAAGCCACAAAAATAGAAGAATATACAAAATCTTAAGAGAAGATAAATGAGGGAATTAATTCTTTTGGGGGCTGGAGCCAGAGTGGAGACCGGAGTGGGGAGGGACAGTGGACGGAGGAAACCGTAAAGGCCAGCCTGGGAGGTACAACATGTAAGCAGGCTGACCTGACTTCCCCTCAGCAGACAGGCCGATGTGGACTGCCGTCGTGCCTCATGTGGATAGTGTACCTACGGTCTTTCTTAACTAGTAGCACACGGCCGTGTGGCCACGTGTAATCATGACATCACTGCATCCCTCAGTGGGATCCTGTGACGTATGAGGTCAGGGAAACGCCGTCATGAAGAGCATGGGATCCTCCCGCACTGCGGAGGGGCCAGTGCGCACGGGGCTCCGGGGGGCGCCGTGGGCCAGCTCACTATTGGATGGAGAACAGGCTAGTCCATGTGACATCAGCTGAGGGTCCCACCTCATTTCTCAGCGGTCATCCCTGTCATCACACACACTGACACAGTGTCCACTGGTGCCAGGCCCACGGCTACTGACGAGCAGGTAGTTGTAGCTCCTAAATGCTGACTTTCATTCGTCCCCTTTTAAAAATCGTTTTTACTCTGATGCCGCGTCTGGTCTTACAGGCAGGAAGGAAGTGGGAGCCTTCATGGTTCTCACTAGCAAGGGACGGCTGAATTTCCCTTCAGGGAGCCGTTTTGCTGAAGGAGATGATGGGGTAGGCCTGGAAAATGGGGGAGAAAATTGAGAAACGGAAGGTGGCACTCGGGTTGACCTCCGGGCCCACAGTCTCCGTCAGAGCCAGGACCAGTGAAATGCTGGTGCTTACGCCGGGCCTGGGATGAGAGCTCAGAAGCTCCCCAGTGGAAAGCAGTTTAGAGTTGCTAAATGGACTCGCTGAAATGCCAGCTTCTCAGAAAGGAATTTTGAAAAGACTTGTACAGCACGAAAATTGCCAGGTAAATTGAAGAGAAATGTTTCTTAAAGTCACAATCTTCACTTGTAATTTAGCTCATCAAGAAATTCCCAGCCCCATTCTCTGTGCATTTCCCTCGTTCGCAGCAGGAAACCAGGGCGATCGGTGCCCTGGTAATGGGGGCAAAGCCAGGCCGCCAGAGAGGGCTCACAGGGCCTCAGAAGCACAGGTACCCCACCTATAACCCACCGGGACATCAGCCACATACTGCATGCTGCAGTGATGATAACAAAAGTGTAATATATGCCAGTTAGACCAGATGTCCTTCCGGACGAAGCCTGGACTGCAAGGGAAGTCAACGCGACACAGATGTTCAAAGTGAATGACAAGGACAGCAATGAGAGCCACTTAGAACCACGTGTTTGATTATTTGTGTCTACCCAACTGGAGCCCAGTAAGATTTTTTTTAAAATATATTTTATTGATTTTGTACAGAGAGGAAGGGAGAGAGATAGAGAGTTAGAAACATCGATGAGAGAGAGTCATCCATCAGCTGCCTCTTGCACACCCCCTACTGGGGATATGCCCGCAACCAAGGTACATGCCCTTGACCGGAATCGAACCCAGGACCCTTCAGTCCCCAAGCCGACGCTCTATCCATTGAGTCAAACCGGTCCCGGCATGGAGCCCAGTAAGATTTTTTTTAAAATATGTTTTTATTGATTCTTTTTAGAGAGAGGGAAAGAGAGAGGAGATAGAATCGTCGATGATAGAGAAACATCAATCAGCTGCCTCCTGCACGCCCCTACTGGGGATGGAGCCCACTACCTGGGCCTGTGGCCTGACCCGGCACAGAAACCAGCAGCCTCTTGCTGCCTGGGATGACGCTTAATCCACTGAGCCGCACCGGCCAGGCCCCGAAAGAGCTCCGGTTTGTTTTGGTGATTCTGAGCAGCTGCGGGCCGGGCATTATGCAAAGCACGTGACCTTTCACCCGCTGTCCACTCCGCCTCGGAGAGCGCTTCCGAAGGACATGCTGTCCCCATCATTGGAGCTGCTGTCAGTTCTAGGCCACGTCCCGGGGAAATTCATCACTTAAGCAGCTCCCGCCCGCCCGCCCGCCCGCGGTGATGAATAGTTCATGAGCCTCGAGGGGGCCGGCTGCTCGGTTCGCTCAGCTCCGTCCCGGGTCCGACTGCCCGCGGTCGCCCTGCAGCGCGGGCCCTGCGCCCCGCATTCGTTCTTCTGCTTCGCGAAGAGGGGACCGTCCTGAGAGAGAACAAGCAAAGCCGAAAGGGATGCTTCTCTGTTAACGGTGTCAGTTCCGCGGCAGCGGCAGCGGCCGGCGCCGGGAATCACCGGCGCGGCACCCTGGCCACCAGCGTTGGCTCAGAGGGATTGGGTGACGGGCCAGACACCGGCCACGCGGAAAGGTCCTTCTAAAGGTCAGACCATCGGCAGCTCAGCTGAGAAGACCCGGGAAGGATAAAATGCAAAGAACAGCTCTCTTACATATACACAGATTAATCGCAAAGGGTGTACTTGCCTACTGTTTCATCGCTGAAATATATGACTGGGTTTTTTTTTTTTTTTCTGGCTTTTTCTTTTATTAAAAAAAAAAACACACACACACCGCATTTCCACTTACTAAGATAATATTACCACGTTCAATAATGAATTGCTTTTGCATATCTTAGGGCGATTTATCAAAGTGCATTATCAGTGCCTGTCGGAATAAATTCTGCACTAAAATTAATGGGGAGGATGTGGTCGGGGTGGGAATCGAAGAGTGTGACTACAGGGGAGCTATTTTCCCGATCGGACAGGTGATCGCCGGCTAAATGGCACTTCCCGTGAGGGTCCGGGCGCCGCGGCACCAGGGGGCGGGCGCGGAGCACGAGTCTCTGAGAGTGTATTTCGTCGGTGCCACGTGGGTCAGGTCTTGGAGAGGTGCATGCTGGGAAGTGCTGCTCAGATCTGGGGAAGGTTCCTGGTCAGCTCATGTGCAGCGCGTCTCAGCACCTGCTCGCATCTTAATTAGCTCGACGGGGGAGTCACAGGTTTCCTCCTGGACACACGTCAACAAGACTAAGCCTTCTGAGAACAGATGTGAGCCCTGGCCAGTGTTGACCAGTGGGTAGAGCGCCAGCCTGGGGATCAAAGGGTCCAAAGAAATCAATGGAAACATACCCTTGGGAGAGGATTAAATAGTAATAATAACAACAACAACAAAAACAAGGGTTTCAGGTCCCATGGCATTCACCCGGAGTCACCAGTTGAGACAGCCACGGCGGTCACTGGGAGCCCTGCCCTGCGGGTGTCCCACGCTCCCCCGCTCGGAAGTTCACCTTTGATTCCTGCCACGTCGTGGGGAGCACGTTCTCCCGTCCGGTGCTGCAGGGTTTTGGTTTCCGAAGGCCCTTTTGAGGCGTGTAACCTCCGTGCTTCGAACTTGCCGTTCACGTCAAGCGGGGACACCCCAATCCCACCCCACGGGTCCGGGTGTCATCCTGGGAAACGCCGGGGAGCTCGGCGCCGGGCGGGGGCTGGGCCACTCTGCGGCGACAGCTCGGCTCTCAGTCACGTCTGCACTCCCCTCGCCTCTGCAGGACCCCGAGCTGGTGCACAACATCTGCCGCTGGGTTCGCCAGGCCATCCGCATCCCGTTTTTCGCCAAACTGACCCCCAACGTCACCGACATCGTCAGCATCGCGAGAGCGGCCAAGGAAGGTAAGACTCAGACCGCACGGACGGCCGGGGGGCACGCTTATCTCTGCCAGACCGTGCGAGCGTGTCCGGGTTTAGAGGTGACAGAAAGGATCAGGCACAGGCATTCCCCCTCCCCTCCCCCTACTCACGCTCATGTAGAGACGCCAGACTCGGGAGCCAAGGAACATTCTCATTTTTCTCATAAGCACGTGTCTGGCGCAGGAAGAATTAGGACACAAAGCCACAGTCACAGCAGCTCACCCGGAAACAAATGACGTGATAATGTAACCGTCCAACAGCAGCATTTGAGCCTTTAATAAAGGAAAATGAAAAAGGGAAAGGAACCAACGTCCGCGATGTGAAACTGCTCACCAGTTCCCCTTGTATTTCACTGGGTGGGCCTGGTACACGGCCTTAAGCATGCGCAGTAATCCGTGAGTCATACAGTCAGTGCGCGATGTTACAAGCCATCTACGCTGCCTTCCTTCCGCTGGACATTGCTTTCTGATTTGCAGATATAGATATAGATACAAATACATAGAGATGTATATAGATTATAGATAGATAGATACAGGAAATTACCTGGAAAATAGCAGTGAGTACCATGGCATCCATGAGTCTGAACAAGAACTGGGAAAACGAGGTGGCAGCAGTTAGCCGTGTGCGTGCCCAGCGTTTCACGCGCGGTTGGAGGTGGGCTTGGGCAGACGCTGGGACAGCCGGGCACGCGTTCCCGGGCTGTCGGGTCCGAGCGGGTTCCGTGTCCCTTTGAAAACCGCAGCTGAGTGGCGATGTGTTCTCCGCAGGCGGCGCAGACGGCGTTACCGCCACCAACACGGTCTCGGGGCTGATGGGACTCAGAGCCGACGGCACGCCCTGGCCGGCAGTGGGCGCCGGGAAGCGGACCACGTACGGGGGAGTGTCCGGTAGGTGGTGCCCGCCTCTGCGTCTTGGCTCGGGGACGCTGCTGACCGGTCAGGAGGGCGTCCCCAGTCGTGTTGCGGTGACCGTTCCCAGCGGGAAGGACGGACGGCTGCTGCGAGTGGAGACTCTGTCACTGGTGGCTCCAGCTGAGGGGCCGCTGGGGGAGGGCTCCGAGGGATCTGTCCCTGCGGTCCACATTCCTCATCGTCACCGTTGTCTTGTCACTTACTGGTGACGGCTCCCGCCAGGCCTTCAGAGAGGAGCACGGAGGCCCCTGATGTCCCGCCTTCTTCACAGTCCCCGTTCGAGTGCACATGCCGGGACTGTGAAACCAGCCTTCGTCAAACCGCCTGGCTCTCCCGCTGCCCCAGACGAGGGGCTGCGTGTGGCGTGTGCAGCTTCAGCTGGAGACAGTGGCAGACTCGCCCACACTCTCTCTCTCTCTCTTGGCCTCAAAAGCAGAATGGGGCGCGGCTGGTGTGGCTCAGTGGTTGAGAATCAACCCATGAACAAGGAGGTCAGATTTGATTCCCGGTCAGGGCGCAGGCCTGGGTTGTGGGCTGGATCCCCCCAGTGGGGGGTGTGCAGGAGGCAGCCGATCCATGATTCTCTCTCATCATTGATGTTTCTCTCTCCCTCTCCCTTCCTCTCTGAAATTGATAAGAAATACATTTTTTTAAAAAGAAAGAAAGGTTATGTTCTGCTTCTAACTGAATGCCACTCCTGCCCCACAGCTTCTCCCAGTGTCAGGAGGAGGAGGAAAGGAGGAGCAGGAGCTACCAAAGGGGCCACGAATGCCATCTGGATGCAGAATCATGGGGGCCGCCCCACGGTGCCCGTGATGGAGGCGGAGACCCTGAGCGGGCTGCCCCGGCACTGGGTCTCCGTCAGCCATTCACTTTCCTCTCCTGCCATGCTGCCTGCCAGGAGGGGGATGCGGGCGGCCCCTGAGGGCCTGGCATCCAGACGGATGAGAGATGATGATGAGAGAACGGTCTCGGTGGTGTTTTGCGTCCCTAGTGCCATTCCCGGTGCTCACGGGAGCTGGGTTCCCGAACAGTCCGACCCGCCCTCAGCCTCGCCACCTGCGAAGTCGCAGCCACAGCAGGAGCCTCAGGGCGCGCACTGGTCACGCCGCGGCCCGCACACAGGCGGGTCCGAGGCTCATTCTGAGATCTATGAACTCCTGGACAAACAGGCGTGGGCCTGAGCCGGGCGAGGCCTCGGCGGAGCGTCCCTGCAAACAGAACGCCCCCGCGTCTCCAGGAGCCGGGACCTCATTTCCGGTCGCTTCTCCGCTAAGTCCCTTCCCGGTAGACCGTCTGTTTTGAGAAGAGCCTCTCTCCATATTGACACAACGAATCGTTTTTCTCCCTGAGAGCAGTGTTTGCTTTCACTGCGAGGTAACAGGAGCTGAGGAGCGGCTGGCGAGGCCCGGGGGGTGGATTGGAGGACGGGAGCCAGCTCTGCAGTGCCTCTGGGGGTGGAGACGTGAGGCGGTCAAGTTCCAGGCCTGGTCCATCACTGTGGGTTCGAGCCCAAGGCAGCTTTAGTCAGGGCAGCTCCCCAAATTTGCCACCAGATACTCTCATAAGATTAAAAAAATTACACAGCTTAGCATTCAGACCTTCTGATGACTTTTCCCTGAGCCCTGGAATATCTGCTTTTACTTTTTCTTAAATATATTTTTATTTATTCCAGAGAGGAAGGGAGAGGGGGAGAGAAAGAGAAACATCAACGATGAGAGAGAATCATGGGTCGGCTGCCTCTTGCATGCCTCCCCGCTCCACGTCATCCCCCTTCCTCCCCACTGGTGATGGAGCTCCCAACCAGGGCCTGTGCCCTGACTGGGAATTGAACTGGTCACCTCCTGGTCCATAGGTCAGTACTCAACCACTGAGCCACACCAGCCGGGCTGGAACGTCTGCTTTTACGAGCGGCTTGAACCTCAGATTTCCCGTTGCGGGGGAGCTGAGTGGAACCCTGGGGGCCCCCTGAGGCAGCACATGCTCTCCGAGGCCGGGGGGATGTCCTTCCCTCCGCATCCTCTGGTCTTTCCTCCTCTCTCTCTCAGGATGAATTGCTGCTCTTTGGAGTGAATTGGGGTTTGTTTAGACGAGGGGTGGGGAACGTCTAGCCAGCGAGCCATGTACGAACCATGAAACGGTTTGGCCTGGCCCTGCCAAGGCATGTGCGGTGAGTCATTACACGTCGGACCACATAGAGCAGGCTCGTGTTGAAGCTGATGATTTTGAACGGCCCTCGGATGATGGTATAAATATCCAAATGGCCCTCGGCAGGAACAAGGTTCCCCACCCCTGGACTTGGGGAAACCGGCCACATTTCAGTACGTCCTTCTGTTAAGCATGCTGGGGGGTGGAGGGGCGCGGCGTTGGGGGTGGAGGGTGCGGCATTGGGGGTGGAGGGTTGGGGGTGGAGGGGTGCGGTGTTGGGGGTGGAGGGGCGCGGCGTTGGGGGTGAAGGGGTGCTGCATTGCAGAGGAGCCCGGAAGGAAGGCCGCTGAGCTGTTTCAGTTACCATCTGTTTGGAACGTAGAGTCAAGCCATGTTCTTCCAGCTTCAGGAGGGCATGAGAGGGTCTGTTCGCTGACCTAGGAGTCCACATTTTTATTTAAAAAAAGAAGTAGAACAGACAGCGTGTCAGACTGCCCTGCACCCAGTGGGTTCCGCGCTGTTTGACCAGACAGCTCTCCCAGTTACCCTGTCCGATGCGTGGTAACCTCCGCGTCGGCCGGCTCCTCATGTGAAAGGCGGCGGCAGGGGTCACGGCAGAAGCGGCTGGAAGCGTGTTTCAGCCTGAGGTCCCTTTGGTGAATAAAGGAAGCTGCTCCCTCTGGAAGTCGTTAAGCAAGGCAGCTTCCACTTGTTGCACTTGGAAATGTGTATCAGCGGGAGAGGGAGCACCTCATCCCGAGGCCTCATCCTCATCCTCAGCTTCGTTACCTTTTCCTCTCGCCTGTAGCTGATTAGAAGCGGAGGATGCCAGGCGTGTGAACCAGGTTCCGAATGGGATGCTTTGTAACCCCGGATTTCAGCCGGGGGAGAAATGCCTGAAATAGCCAAGCTCACAGCATGGGTCCGTCTGAGGTTAATTTATAGAACTCGGGGATTTTACAACCGGCTGGCATCAGAAGTGGGGTGTTCAGAAGGAATGTTTTTTATGAGATTGAGAGGCTACGTAAGCTCTCTAGCATGTAAATGCTTCCATCTAACTCATTGATTCTAAAGAAATATTCTCCACAAAAATGCTAGAAGAGAATGTAGTCAGTAAAATATCAGACATTCCTCTTAGCAATATTTTGTCTGTTATATCTCGAGAGCAAGGGAAACACAAGACAAAATAAACAATGGGACTACATCGGACCAAAGAGTTCTTGCACAGTAAAGGAAGCCATCAATGGAGTGGGAGGACATATTGGCCAAGGATACATCCGCTAAGGGTTTCATATCCAAAATTTTTAAAGAACTTTTACACAAACTGAACAAACAATCCAACTTAAAAATGGGCAGACGACCTGCATAGACACTTCTCCAAAGAAGTCAGAGAAGAGGTCTACAGACCGATGAAAAGGTGCTCAGCACCACTAGTCGTCAGAGAAAGGCAAATGAAACCACAATGAGGTATCCCCTCGCGCCTGTCAGGATGGCTGCCGGCAGTAGGTCCACACAAACAGGTGCTGGTGAGGATGCGAAGGAAAGGGATGCTGGTGGGAGTGCGGTCAGGGAAGCCCCTGTGGTGAGCAGCATGGAGTTACCTCAAGAAGTTAAAAGGCCATTGCCCTATGACCCAGCGATCCCGCTTCTGGGGATATGTCCAGAGAAACACAAAGCATTAGTTTGAAAGAATGCACGCACCCCTATGCTCATTGCATTGTTTACAATAGCCACGGTTTAGAAGCAGCCAGAGTGCCCCTCCGTAGAGGAGCGGGTAAAGAGCCTGTGGGACATTGACATAGTGGAATGCTACTCGGCCACAAGAGAGAAGGACCCCTTACCTCTGCCGCAGCACGGGTGGGCCTGGAGATGGCTGTGCTCAGTGAAATAAGCCAGGCAGAGGAAGGCCAGCACCATATGACTCTCCTATGTGGAATCTAACGAGCAAAATACACTAACAACCAAATAAGAAGCAGACTCATAGGTCCAGAAAACAGATTGACAGCTGAGGGGAGGGGAGCTGGGGGCTGGGTGAAAAAAGTGACAGAATGAAGCAAAAATAAAATCATAAGCAGAGACAACAGTGTGGTGATCACTAGAGAGGGGCTGTGTAGAGAGGTGAATGAGGAGAAAGGCAGGATATATCGTGATGGAAGACTAGTTGACTTTGGGTGGTGAACACATGATCCCATATACTTACGATAGAAACCTACTTAATTTCGTTAACCAGTGTCAACACAATAAATTCAATATTTTTTAATATCAAAAGCAATGATCTGTACCGCCCTTTGGACAGTGGGGATTTTGTACTGTAAGTGGTTACTCCCTGACTCCTTTTTCTAGGGTCCGTGCAGGAAACTTCATTAACATCAAACGGCAGCTCCCGGGCACCACACAGTGAATATATTATTAGGGTTTTTGGGGGGAGGGCAGGATTCCTCCGTTTAATTTGGTTAGAAGGAAACACTCATCTCACCAGTGACATTATTTAGAAACGCCCTCACGTGGATTACTCATTATTTTTCCTAGTTTTTATTATTTTTTTTCTTGTTTTAGTCTCAAGTTATTTATTTTCAAATAGTGACCCTTTAAGATAGTCCCGAATCCAGGGACAGCCATCACTGTGTAAGCAGAGCCATCCAGCCGTGTGTGACAAGTCCCAGGAGGTCCTCCCTGGGGGCAGTGTCCTTTCAGACATGGGTACCAATGAGTCCTGTGGTGTTGCGTGTGAATGTGTGCGTGTGCGTGTGCGTGTGCGTGTGTGTGTGTGTGTGTGTGTGTTATAGGAAGCCGTTGTTCATGGGCTGGGTGTTTTCTGTGCTGATCAT